CATAGACTAGGTTTAAACAGAGCAGACCAAATTTCGATAATTGTAAACTACACATAGACCAGAGATTTGCGAGATTAGGTCAGATCAGTTTAGAACAAACAAGACCAGACTGAAACAGATCAAATCAGACCAGAAAATTTCAATCTAACTAAGAACATCTTAAATCAACTTGAATCAAGGATGAATTTTAGCTAGGGGGCGACCACCCCATATAGAATTTCAAAATTTTCCATTAGTTGATGAACAACTACAGATGTTTTTACCTGGACTGCATTTTCTGATTTGGTGTGGTCTAATCTAGTCTGAGTTGGTCTGATCTTGTAAATGTCTTAACTCTGTGTATTTTATAATTGTCAAAGTCTTGTCTCTGCAAGTCGTAACAACATGATTTCCCTCTTATTTAATCCCATGCCCGAATCTACATCATTGTTTCTAGTTGCATGTTTGGACTTGACAATGGTTGAACAATGTGAAGAATTGAAAGTTGTAATTCCAAAAGTTAAGAATCAGTCTGAATTCCCTTCCCTTGGCAGGCCTCGAAAAGAAGAGGACATAGTTGTTGGTTCAACTAATACCACACTAAGTGTTTGATGAACAACTACATTAGCGCGTTACTTGGGATACTTAATCTCAGCAATTTGGTCCATTTTCACCAACAGCATCACTTTGAGAGATACTCCACCAAGGTCAACAACTATCTTTTGAGTTGTAGTATCACAGCTAATCCCCCTCGAGCCCATAAACAAAAATGAATGCATATATGGATATGCCTATGAATGGACTATACTTGAGGAAGAAATCAAACATGTATAAAATGAATCCAAGTTCAAAGATGGTAAGGAGTACGTTGTAAAAAGTAAACCGTGCGAATTTGATGTTGAATTTATTCTGTTAAGTACGTTATCCCGGTATGTATTTTTTGAAAAAGGGATAAGGGTCAGATAGGGCCTCGAACTTGAAAACAAAATGTCAAATAAGGCCATATTTAGGATGCTCTGTCCGGCCGACGCCATTTGGGGTGGTTCCCGGTGGAATTTTTTGATGACTTTTTTTGAGAATCTTATTCATTAAGTCTAGTTTACTCATATCAAATTTGAACAAACAATTCAATCGGGAAGGCATTCAAATGAATTTATGAAGATAATTGCGCTTTTAACGGTACAGTTATCTTCAAGAATTCATTTGAATGCCTTCCCGATTAAAGTTTTAGTTCAAATTTGATATGAGTAAACTAGACTTAATGAATAAGATTCTCAAAAAATTTCATCAAAAAATTCTACCGGGAACCACCCCAAATGGCGTCGGCCGGACAGAGCATCCTAAATATGGCCTTATTTGACATTTTTTTTCAAGTTCGAGACTCTATCTGACCCTTATCTCTTTGAAAAATTATATTCGTACGGAATGTGCACACAAAATGCCTACATACCTCTTAGTTGTTTATGTACACAAACAACTTGTTTAAAAAATGAAAATGCGGTACTTATTTGTGTACGCAAGCGACTATGCAAAATGTACATAATATATGTACACCATCTAGTTGTCATTGTACATAAGCATTTTATGTGGAAAATGACAGAAATTATTTGTGTATATAGAGGACAGCGCCAAATCTCTCACCTTTTGTGTACATAACATTGATTTTTTCTTTGCGAGCTGCCTTTTTTTCTTCCCAGCCGACCGTCTGTCTGTCCTCTTTCTTTGGAGTGGAGCTAGGTGAACACAAAAGTTGTACACTTTTTTTGTACACTTGTGTGTCCCACGCAGACAAGTTATCTGCGGGGGACAGACAAGTATACAAAAAATGTATAACTTTTGTGTACACCACACATTTTTTCTTTCTTTGTGCGGCTTGTTGCTTCCTCTCCTCTTCTCAGAAGGTGTTTGTTTTTGTCTTGCATTTAATTATAAGCACCTAAAAGTAGAGTCTCGTTCTTGTCCAGCTGGCCTGACGGGAACCGCCGTCCGGACGAGGGCATTTCGGGCACTTTCCGATCGAATTTTTCGATGAACTTTTTTGAGCATATTCTTCATCAAGTCTAGTTTATCCATACAAAATTGCAGCTCAAAATTCAATCGGGAAGGCATTCAAATAAGTTTTTGAAGTTGACTGCGTCAAAATATACATATAAAAACGCAGTCAACTTCAAAAAATTATTTGAATGGCTTCCGGATCGAATTTTGAGCTTAAATTTGTTATGAATAAACTAGACTTGATGAAGAACATGCTCAAAAAAATTCATCAAAAAATTCGATCGGGAAGTGCCCGAAATACCCTCTGCCGGACGGCGGTTCCCGTCAGGCCGGCTGGACATGAAGTTTTCTCCCTAAAAGTACATGTCTTTTCTTTCCCTATCCCCACTTATCTCCACCCACCTTTTTCTTTCTTTCTTTTTATGACTTTTTGTTTTGCTTTTTTCTTGTTATCGCAGCTGAGCGGCAGGTTTTTATGAGTGAGACACTTTAGGTTCTCGCCTTTAAATTCCTGACATTTTCAGGTATTGTGAAATCGACATTTTTAGTTCTTCTATTTTGATTTTGTCATGAAAAGTGGAGGACTAAAAATGTTAACAATCGTGTTTGATAATACCAATTGTCTGCTAGCTATCAAATAGCCGGTTAAATCAGCGGATTGATCTAAACGGATTCCATTAGCTTTTTAAACTAACCAATTTTATTGGCGGTTTAAAATAAAATGTTTGTAATTTAACTGTTTGTGATTAACTATTAAGACGTAAAATGATCATTAAGGATATGAATTTAAAAGTATATATATTTAATTTTATTTTATTTCTTTTATTTTTTAGTAAATCTTGGAAAAAGTTTTAAAAATTACATTTACCTTTATTTAAAATAGCTACTACCACTATCATCTTTAACATATCTACATTAACTTGAGGACACACATCTAATTTCATATTTTTTTTTATCATCAAAACATGCCTCTATTCATATCAAAAGATTCATCAGGATCATTACATCAAGCAAAGGGAAAATAAAACAGACACCAACTGAAACTCCAACAACTACGATTGTAACCCTATGGTGAGACTTTGAGACGGTCACCCGTGAGAGAGCAACACGAATCGCTAATCATGTAGTGGGCTTGACATAGCCAAAACTATTCCCATAGATCCAACCATACTGAATGACATAAAGAGAGGCAAAAAACTCAAACAAACTGTCAAACCCAACAACAAAAATGGACGCAAGAAAACAAATAACAAACAGATAAAAACTACAAGAAAAACGTTTACGAACTCTAACACCTCGTGCATCCCATGGTGGTGGTTCAGGAGGAGGTCGTACCACTGGTACCATGCTAATTGATCCTCCATGACCTTTGGCTGCCAAAGTTCATGCATCAATCCTCCGTCCCTGCATAACCAAACTCATCCCTGCCCCGTGCGACCAGAGTAAGCGGACAGGCGGCGCCGATCTTCTCCAAAGATGACAGCAACGTCGCATCCTCGACCCTTGACCACAGCGCCGATCTCCTCGAGTCATGACAACAAATCTACCCTTCTCCACCGATCTTCGCCCTCCACGTCTGACCTTGACTCCAGTCGAGCACCAGCGACCAAGGGATAACAAAGCTGATCTTCGATAAAGTCGAAATCGGAAAAAGGCTCCAGCGGCCGACATAGTCAAAGCTCTAGAGAGAAAAACTCGTGATCGCTCTACCTTAGCCAAAAGCAGACCACTGCTCCGCAGCCAGATATGCGAACAAGAACATCCGAACTTCGATCAATATGATCGAATTCGGAAAAAAAGCCTTAATTTCATATATTTTTAGTATTAATGTTTTAATATGACTATTTTATTAGTTTTTTTAAATCTACTCCATAATCTACTAAAATTTCTACTCCGTATGAAAATTCTATTTTTATATGAAATATTCTTGTTATTTTATATGGAGTAGAATTTTTAACACACTTATAAAATAGTCATATTTAATATATGGATACTAAAACTAAATAAATTTATATATGTTTGCTCGCGTTAATGTACACATGTTAAAAATGATAGTGGCAGTAGTTATTAAATGTAAATTATTTAAAATAAGCGTGAATATAATTTTTAAAACTTTTTCCGTCTTAATAGTTAATCGCAAACAATTAAGTTAATAACATTTTATTTCAAACCACTTATGAAAGCAGTTAGTTAAAAAAACTAATGTAATTCATTTGTATCAATTGTTGTTTCAACTGGTTAGTTAAATAGCTAACAGACAACTGCTATTATCAAATATGACCGTCGACATGCAATTTTAGTCCTCCATTTGTTATAAAAAAAAAAATTCAAAATAGGATTAGAAGTATTAATTTCAAAATACTTAGGATATCAAATGTAGAAAATTATTAAATCAAGAATCAAAATGTCACTCATGCAATTTAAGTCCTCCATTTGATTAATTTTAACTTTTACTGATATGTATGTCTCATACTCTCATGTGATTTTTTTATCAATTTGTAATTTGGCCCACCAAAATGCTCATTCGTCTATTTCTACCTTAGCCATGACCACAGGATTGAGATCCTCTACCCAGCTAGGAAAGTGTCTTGAGAAATGCTAGAGGTACCTCATTTTCTACTCCATTTTGTACCCCATTCTACATTTGTGGCTCACAAAAATCCAATCCAATTAAAATAATTGCTCCATTTTTACTCATTGCTTTTGTGAACCACAAACATAGGAGGGGGTACAAAATGGGGTACAAAATGGGGTGGCTTTAGCATTAGTGAAGTGTCTTAACAAACGAATGGGAAGAAGAGCATCTCGAGATACACGAAAAAGTAGACCCCAATAATTCCAACCGTTGAACTCTCGGTCCGACAGTAGTCCTCAGCTAGGCACCCTACCTTGATGCTAGACTGATAGCAGTACTTATACGATTATACTACAGTACACCTATAGGCCGCAGTAGCAATCTTTAAATGTAAAATTTTAAATGTGGGACGTTGTTGTGAAAAGATATTTTGTCTGCAACTATTAGTATCATTTTTTCCCATAAAACATAATTCAAATATACAATTCAAATTAAACTTGTTTTGGCTTAATATTTAAAGGTTGACGGGTTTTCTGAGCTCGAAATGATAAAACCTAAATGTTCCACACATAAGCAATTATACTGTTGTGCCAAAATCTTATGCGAAGTAAAGAAGTGATTCAACGGCAGATAAAGAACTTTCATAGCAGGTTGCGGAGTAAATTCTGTTATGAAACTCAACTTCAAACGGCAAATTAGCAGTGACATAAATACTTTACAAACTTCAGCCATACAAGGCACGCCAAGGCTCTTCGCTTACTTTACCACTTATCTCCTTCAATGATGATTCCAATGTTATCTTCTGTCTTGATAAACATAGAGATGAGAAGCTAGTCAGATACTCCCCTGTCTCATATACAGCCTGCCATGCATAGTAACAAAGGGTGGAAAGAATTACTAACTTGCAAAAGGTGGTGCATCTATGGAATATGTTCCAATTGGCGCTTAAATGAGAAGAAAAGTATGATTTGAAACCAACGCTCTCAACATTGTGTATATGGGAGATGCGCTGGTATCCTTAATAGAAATGTAATAAGAAAATCATGGGACATCTAATGAAAACCTGGGCAATCGTAGGTAAGTCATGATGGAATGGAATGGAATGTGATCAGATGTATGTGTTTTGTATATTTATATTCAAAGTTTATACTCCAAGCATCCTGTTAGAGTTTGCCAATTTTGACAAGAACATGGAATAAAAAACTAAAAACTACGTAGCATGTAATTGAGTTCTGTGGGGAGAGAAATAATAATAAGAATCACATATCCTGAGTGTCCAAGTCCAATGAATTTGAAAATTTGTTCTTCAAAAAGTTTAAAGGGAAAGTGGAAAAGATATTTATGCAACCAAAAAGTTTGGCAAAGCCCAATGGAATTACATTACCAAACATTCCATTACTAATAATAAAAAACTGCTCCACTTCGGAAAGCAAAAACTGGATGATTTGTGTTTTTAAGTAATGTCTGCCACAAAATGTATGGCACTCCTATCTAGTCATGCTTAACCTCAAGCAGCCAGAGCTGCTCCTCTGCCACAGGTATTTTAATTCATTTAGCAGCCATAATAACTTACTGCCTGGAAACACTTGGCCATTCAGCTCGGCAGGCTGCAAAACACAAGCAGCAACTACTAGAGTTCTAAAGTTCTCAAGTTATAAAAAATCATTTATCTTGTAAGTTTCTCAAGTTCTTCTAGTTCCTGATTTACAATACTTCATGAAACTTTTACAGAATCAATGTAAGGCATTATCTATCCTGTCTTGCTGAAGCTGAAGCATACAAGAGCTGGTTTTATAGCCACTAATTTTACTTTAGCAACTGTTTTTACTTACTGGTTGGCAGTACATAAGCCAATCAGCTCGGCCAGTTGCAATAGCAATATTTGGAACATGAATACTACCAAAGCAATTCATTATCCTGATTTACAATACTACATGCATATTTTACAGAACCAATATAAGGCATTATCTATCTTGTCTTGCTGAAGCTGAAGCATACAAGAGCTGGTTTTATAGCCACTAATTTTACTTTAGCAACTGTTTTGACTTACTGGTTGGCAGTACATAAGCTAATCAGCTCGGCCAGTTGCAATAGCAATATTTGGAACAGGAATACTACCAAAGCAACTCATTATCAATATAGACATTCTAATAACTACAACTACTTTTGGATTTTCACTTTAAGGGATAATCCCTTAGCACCTATGCAAAATTCATCTTGAGTGATAACCAGATGTAGTAAGGGATAATATAGTACAGTGCTTCTACATGTCTTAGTTTCTACACAAAAAAAAGGTTATTGTAAATCTGATGGAGATGTTAACTACATCAATTTTCAAGAGACTTTTCCAAAAGAGTGACTCCATATAAGAAATAAAAAGACATATCCATTAAACCTTGATCTTTACCTGAAGCTGCCCATCTGATGTCAGGTTGTGTTTACTTGGAGCAGTCTTTCCGATCAAAACAATTGTGGGCAATGTGAACACACGAACCAACTGGAGCAAGCAAGCCAGTTGTTCATGATAAATCTGCAAAGATGGTGGTGGATTTGGCAATTTTGCGCTCAAAGCTTGAGTTATATCATTGGAGGGTCCAAAGTGCAACCCATATATTTGAGTTATGTCAGAAGATTTACTGTCCTCCCTAAGCTTAGTTGCAGGAATAACAAAGGGGACTAGAACTGTAGGCATAGTTGATGATGATTCACCAGGCACTAGTGCAGCCAATGTTTCACTAACTGCACAAAGTAATATCGGAGGCTCATAATTTTCCAAAAGCAACACCGATACCTAAGAAACAGCAAAAAAAAGGCCTTCATTCATAATCCAAAGGCAAAAGAAAAAATGACTATTGTATTCACACAATAAATGTAATCCGTATATGAGTTTATTATATTTCTGAAAAACTAAATACCGTATGAGCGCCAGTGGGAGCTTGAAAATGGACAATCTTGCCAGAGGCTTTTATATCCTTGATTCCGCAGTTTTCCAATGACAATTGAAATGACTCTTCGCTGGAAATGGAAAAACTGAAATGAGTAAGAGACTAGGTGGCTTGTGGGAGGGTAGAGTTATGAAGAGATGGTGCTTACCCAGATTGAAGGCCGGAGTTGGGGCATGGCTCGAGAGCGTGGAAGATGGCTGCACCAAAGCCGTGTGAATCGTTGAATAGCAGTATCACTTTCGGGGCTACCTTCATTCTCGTCTAGGCTGCTTTCTTTCCCAGGAAAACCCTCACCTTGTTTGCACTTTACAAATAATCTAAAATGTCATCATTGCTAATCGTCATAAATTAAGCAAAATGTAAACAAAACGCCAATAAATTGAACAAAGTATTTAGCAAAACTATAGAATCCAGTCAATCATCACAACAAATCTCTCAATATTTTCTCAATTTCAATTTTCGTTTAACCGCAAGGCAAACAGTGGGAATTGGGAAATGAATCTGTGAATTTCAAATTAGTTTTAGAAAAATTAGGTTGTAAATTTGTAATTTGTGTAGGAGAGGAGGCTAACCAGGGGTGGAGGTGTGCTGGTGTGGAGGTGGTGGACAGGTGGATCAGTTAGCTGTGGATTCTGGTGCTGACTGCTGACTGGGACATTTGGAACTAGCAAGGCTGGAGGCTGGTACGATGGCGGGCGCCGTCGACTGAACTCGCGACGGTAAAGGCTGGTACGACGGCGGGAGACGGCGTAGGACTGTCGGACTGGATTGACGAGCTGCTACTCTACGAGCTACTACTAGCCTAGGGCTGTAGGGCAATCGACCATTTACCTATTTGGGATTTAAAGTAGATGACCTAGAGATCGATTGAAAGGGATCTGGAGAAGCGCCTTGCTTTAGAGGCAAAGTGGTGCGTTGCAATTTGGGAACCATCCAACCAAAAATGTAACCGTGGAAGATCTTGTCATTCACGAGTAAATTATTTTAAAGTGTCTAATGTAACTAGAAATTATCACTTGAAAACATTAGTTTTAACTTTTTAAATCAAAAGTAGAGAAGTGTTTTTTTAATGTTTGCAAACAGACTCATTCCATTTGCTAGCTTGTTGCCGCATGGTAGTGGGTTTGAATCTATGCGCAAGTTTGGGTTTCTGGGCTATATCAGGGTATTTTAATTTTTTTCTTAAACAGCTTCATCGTTTCAGTTAAAAATTTGAAATTTTTATTTAAACTGACACTGTCCACTCTTGACTAAAGTTACTATATGTATATACCACATGATCAGCATAATATAATTTAGGACACAATCATGCTCATTAAAGTCCATATTTATAATAGTCATTAAAGTATAAATTGTGTGTGGTGATTGTTGTTTATAAATAGATTTTTGTCTAGCTGGAATGATGCAAATGTGACTATAGCCCAATGGTTAATATGAATCATCCATATTAATGATTGGAAAGAACTTAACATTTGAAGAAAAATAGAAAGAATAACACAAGTATTTATACACTCAAAGATAAAACTAAAATCATTTTTATATTTGGACCAAATTAAACTGAATAAACCTGGGTGTCATTAATTTCCCAATCCTCTTGGCTGCATATCTTCATTGCAGATCTCTTCATCTACCCATAGCTTCGTCCGTTCCCAGCCCTCGCATCTGCATCGCTTCGTCGTAGCTTCCTAGCCCTCCCGCCACTTCATCACAGTTTCCCAACCCTCCCGTCGCTTTGTCACAACTTCCCAACTCCTTTCTTTTTCAGTTCGCAATTGATCCCTTCGCACGCTACCGCCCATCAATCTGAAGAGAGACGACCCTTGATCTAGAAAGTCAATGAGGGTTTGGTTGGAGTGACATGGGCGAGTTGCAGGGGAAACAACTAAGGTTTTTAGGGGGCAAGCTAAGGTTAGGGCAAAGGGTGGGGAAGGTGGCCTAGGGTGCAAGCAACACGGGGTATGAGATGGTGGGATGTTGGTGACCGGCAGTCGTGGTGGGATGGTGGTGACCACTAATGAGCCGTTGTGACTGCCATCGTGATTGCCGTCATGACTTGCTAGAGGTTGGGGTCTTGGGGATTGAGGGTTGAGGTCAATGGCGGGTGGTGATGAACTATGGAGGTGTGACTGTGGATGTGTCACTATAACCGACAACGATCACCGGCTAGCGACGATGGTCACCAATCGAAAGTCATTGTAGCGAATGTCACTGCAACAAGTGTCACTGTGGCGTGTTTTGTAACTATAATGTAAAGTCACTACAAATTAGAGGTAGTTTAGTAAGTTTAAAGCTTATTAGTCACATTTTCAAGAAATTGAAAAACGATAATTTTTTGTAATTTATCTTCTTTTTAGTAATATTCACATTTTATGAATATTACTATGTGATGAGTCATTTTTTTGGGAAAAAACAAAAGAAGTCATACTTTTGGAATTGGAAAATCTAATAGTAATACAAGTTCCATTTTTCAAGAACTAAATGTCTATTACTATTCTCAATAACATTATCATTAAAAAATTATAAACATACACATCAATTGCCTATTATCATGTGTCCCACGGACACTTAATAAAACCATTTTCTAATTTAAAAAGGTAGGATAAAATTCTTCCTTATCATTGATATTATTGTAAATTTCAAAGCAATCCAACAACACAGCTTAGATGTAATCTGTTTTCCAGGCTTCTCAAGTGATGGCCAAGTAGCATGCACCTGGAGAAGTAGAAGAAGACAGAAACAAAACAGGGTTTTAACAAATATGCAACCTAAACGAAAAAATTACATGCAATTATATTTCAATCTATTCAAAAAAAAAAAATTAAGTCTTATGTAAAGAACGAAAAGATATAAAATGCATAGCACGCTATACTAACCAGAAAAGAAGCTTTGCCAAATAATCCCTTGAGGTGTCTACTTCAAGCAATATGCTCGCCTCACACTCACCTTCAACCTCTTCTTTGAAAAACAATTGCAATATGTTCTCGGCCAGTTGATGAATTACTTGCTCCACTTCAAATGACGATGGCTTAGAAATTTCACTCACCTGTTATTTTCTCAAAATCATAATTTTGGATGGGATAACATTGGTCCATATTTCAATGCGGAGTATAGATATGAATCATTTGAGATTTTATGAATTTTAAAGAAGTTTCATGAAAAGGTGATCATAAATAATTTAGCTATCCTTTATTCATTTTTAGAAACATCCTATTCATCAAGATTTAGACTAAACCTCCAAGCCATTCCCCTCCAAAACCCTACATCCAAACTGACCCTTTAGAATTAGACAAAAACATTTCCTTACTCATACTTGCATAAAAGAAAACAAGTTTACCATGTCAGGTTCCAACAAGCGCAAGTAATCTAACAGATTATTGTTGCTTCGCTCGTCATCATCTATCTTCAAATTTTCCTGCTTCTGAGCATTGAGTTCCTGACACAACAAACAATACTCAGTTTAACATATGCAATGTAATTAGATTAAAGATGTGGGCAAAGAAGGCTAAGGGAAAGGTTCACTTAATATCGCAATCACCTTTTAAGGTGATGAAGTTTCGCACACCCTTACTGAATCACCTAAAAGACATTTATGTCATATTTTATCACTTGAAACATGTTTCCTAAACTTATGATATCCCCAAACTTACTTGATAGAATTGTACTCCCTAAAAATGAATCTTTGTTTCGGTAATGTAGAATTTTAGTTATAAGCTAATTTTTGTTGAGTCAACTAATAAGCATTTGCTGTTTGCTTGAATTTGAATTTGAAAAGAAAATTCAATAAGTCGCCTTCTTTTTCTTAGACAAAACAATTATTATGTAGGAGTTTTTTAACAGTAGGAGTGATTAGAAAGAACTTTACTCATCCCAAAAGAATATCCTCTGATCTTATGTATTTGGCTTATATTAAGTCAAAATGCGACAAATACTTCAACGGGCCTATCAGTTTAAACGGGCTGGACAGCTCAAGAGTAAACTGTTAAAATCGTGCTAACTCAAAGTATAGGTGCTGAACCTACAAATCAAATTACGCACCTGGGCGATATTAAGACTTGAGATTTCATACTAAAAAATTAACCTCACAGCAGTGTTAGCCCAAAATCTTATATGTTGATTTATTATTCTATATTTTGCAATGAGATACGGAGTACAATACTATAGGAGCCAGAATGGCAAACCCTCAAATACTTTTTTAACAACAGATCTCAATCAACTCATCTAAATTGACAATGGCCATGACAGTTTAACAACAAGCCAAAGTCCAATGTTGAGCACAAAATAATAAATACCACAATGCATTCCTAATTATTCAACTTATATCTAATCTCATCAAACCTGAAAAGCATTAACGATTCAAATAATTGTTGAATAGATCAACAAGTTAGGAATCACTCCGGAGCAAGTCAGAAGAATATCTTCTATAATAACCTGAACTAGGCCAGTGACATGAGACGCCTTTCGTTGTTTAGGGGATACGCAATCAGTACTGTTACTCTGTACACACACTCCAGAGCAGCAGCACTAGAAAAGAACTGAAAGATCAATCACCACCATCTATCAATATTCTCACCCATTCCTAAACAAATTTTCAAATAGAGTAACATTTTTAGCACCTGTTTGACTTTTAACAGCTCTGTTTCTAATTGCTGAATGTATTCCAGAGCTTCAGGAGACAAATTCCCAAGATTTTGGAGACTGCTGGTCGTCTGAGAAATTTCATCGAATCCATCTCCTCTGCTTTGTATTTTCTGATTAACAACTTCTTCACTATTTACCAAAGACTCCTTGTTTCCATCCTCAAAGTTCAAGTTTCGTGAACTGTTCGACGAAATGTCAAAATTCTTCATCAACAATGTTCTATACTCCACATTCCACAAGGTATACCTGTAGAAGTTACGAAGTACATATTAAGTCATCTTACAATGAACATCTTTTACAACCTCCGTCCCAAAAAACTTTGTCATTTCTAAAAAATTGAACCATGATTTTGATTAGTATAATATCATGGAAATTAATAAGTGTATACTTTTATGAAAGTACTTTTAACAAAGAAAATTTTCATATAATTTTTATATTATAAATAATTTCCAATTAAAAGATATAATTGGTCAAAGTTTTGAAGATGACAAAGTTTTTTGGGAGGGAGGTAGTAGCATTTTTTGTACAAAACAGTTGAAACCAATAAATTCAACTCAGTTCTATTTTGATCTCTAATCCCAAGTAGAGAACTATCTTATTCAAATTGGGTTTTTGAAATATAATTTTTACTTCACACTAAATCAAACTAGATATATTAATGTGATTCCTAAATAGGTGAACTTTAATTGCCTAATGCTAAATCAAATATTCAGATTGAAGAATTGCCTTTATTTCTGGTTAATTGGAATAGGATCAAAGCAGGAGTAAAGTCATAGCAAAGTTATTATCTTCGAGAAGAACATGGATATTTCAACGCAGATAGAATTACTGAAGAAATGGAAACCCTCACCCGGTAATTATGGAGGATACAATTAGGCGCCGGAGAGGGTGTTTTGAAACCCGAACTGTTACGGAGAACTGATCCGATGGTAGCAACCCTAGCATAGTGGATATGGTCTGCTTCATAGAGTCCTTGGCAGCGCTAGAAACGCTTTTAGAAATGACTGAAGTGTCCAAAGGCTGAATCTGCTTGAGCATATTGGCGATCACGTCGAATTCGCGGCCGAACCCAGACTTTGCGGTGGAAACGAAGTCGTCGGAAACTCCGCCGCCGTCAACTCCGGAGACGAGGCAACTGATTGTAGCAGAAGATGACGGGCGCCGTCTAGAGGAAGTGAGAGCGGCCGGAAGAAAGGGGCGGATGAGGAGGTGGTGCGCGAAGGAAGTCCGGGGAAGCTGTGGCGGCTGGAGGGGCTTCAGTGACAGCTCGGAGAGAGGAGAGGTGAGAAAAGCGCGGGACATCGAGGCCATTGAAAGGAAGGTTTATTGAGATTGAAGAGGCAGAGGCGGAGCGATCTCTAGCGACTCCCGGCCGCTTTCGCCTCCTCAGTCCGCCTCATGTTCTCGGCGGACACGTCTTTGCTGATTTTGAAGCCATTGCTGATTTTGTTCGCTGGCAATTTGGTTTACTCGATGCCCTTGTTTTTGGCATGTATTACGGATTGACCGCTGTAAGGCTGGCGTTAACATAAGGCTGGAGCTGATTGTAAAGTTGACGGCTGTGAATGAATCAGGTCCCAAAAGGGATAGTTCTTGCCCAAAAAAAAAACTTTTGTCAATTTCAAAATATGAATAATTATTGTCAAACTTTAAAAATACTGTCATGATAAAATAAGAGCAATTACTTCTATTTAGAATATAAAAATATGATTGCTCTATTTTGGGATACACACTCTTTTAATTCTATTTAGGAGAATTTTCCATTAGAAAACAATGTTTCAGGACTCTTAGTTTATTTTTCATTCCAAACCTAACATTAGAATAAATGTTTAGCATCTAGACCTAATGAGTCTTAGAAAACCGAAGTCATAGTTTAACTATTATAGTGTCGTGCACTCGTCTTTATATATAGTATAAGTTTCGATGCTTTTTCTGGTAACAGCTTCGATACTTTTAGAAAAACAAATTTTTAGTGAATACCTACATTCATGAGGCAAAGAATGCTTCATGTGCAGTTCAATTTAAATGTTGAAAGCATTTTTCAAAGATTTTCAACAAGCAAACAGACATCTATGGTGATGGTTATTTTAAATATAGAAGGCGGGATGATTTTCTCATATATTTATATATGATGTACATGGCTCATGTTAATGCCAAGTGGTGTAAAGATCTTATGAATAAAGGTCACGATTGTGTCACGTTTTGATCTTATGAGATCACAAATAAGGATAACTCTGCACAACTTCGGGATGAAATCAAATTGTATTGTGATTGTCAGTATATTTCACCATTTGAGGTGATGAGAAGAGTATTTGGGTTTGAGGTTCAATATAAGAATTCATCAGTTGAACGTTTGAGTTTTCACTTACCCGATGAGGAGTATGCATATTTTGATTATGATGTTATGAGTAATGTTGTACAACGTGAATCGATTAAAGAGAGCATTTTCTAGCATGGATGTAACCAGATGAATTGTACCCAAAAGCTATTTATTTAAGCTTCACTGAATTACCTAGAAAAGGGAGGTTTACTCTAGGTTGACTAACATATGAATTCAGAATCCGATGAATCTTTTTATTTACAATGTGTACTCAATCTAAAGTGTGGTCCTACATATTACAATGACTTAAGAACAATGGATGAGGTTTGTTATCAATCGTATTGCGATGCAAGTTACACATTGGATTTGTTGGACGATGACTGAAAGTACGAAGAAAGATTTTCTAAAAGTAGGTTGGCCTTGAAAAATCTTTTTGTCATATTATTGTCAGTTGATACAATGAGTAAACCAGAATATATATTTGGGAAAATAATGGATGTTTTTATCTAATGCCATTTTGCATGGACAATGAAATGCTTTACTACATCTATGTAATAAAGAATATGACAGAGGATTTGACTATTGTAGTGAACTAACTGTAATAAAGAAACATCGGCTTAATGGGACCGATTAATCGGCTTAGTCAACCCTAACTGTAGTGAACTAATCGGCCTAGTCGGCCCTGGCTTAGAGCAACCGCAATGCGTTCTTTCTAGTGTGGGTATAGTGTACCCAATTCACTAATTTAGACATACTACATCTTTTTTTACTCCCAACGCATGTAGTCCCATCGTTCTTTCTTGATGAGATGGCAAAAAAATGTTGACAGTGTGAAGCACCTAGTCTGACTATAGAAAGCTACGTTAACTTGCTGACTCAGATACAATACTTCACAAATCCGGCAAGTCCTTGGAGTAATTGTAGGGAAACGGTTACTCAATAAAACAAAACAAATAATTCATATTTATTTTAAAAGAACATTTTCCACATGGGAGTTGGAATGGGCCGAGAGATTGTGCTGCATTGGAGACTTATTTTAACCCTCACGATACAATCACTCCACTTTTTATTTTGTAGACTAGAAAGCCACTTAATTATTTGACATTTGTCATTTTTAAAATAGACTAGACATTGATGGGTTGAAGATGCTCTTAGTCGGTCAAAAAAATCGGCCACCTAGGCGCTAGACGTTCCTCAACCATCCGACTAGCGCCTAGCAAGTTTTAAATTAATGATGTAAAACGTCTTCTATAATATGCTATATCCCAATGTGTGAATTATTCTAACAACACATTTTACATTCCAAACATTATACTTCCTTCGTTTGGTATTAAGAGCAACATGCACTTGGGCGTAGGAATAAGAAGAATGCAAAGGTGCTTTACATACACTTCCGTCCATGGGGGAGTGAGCGGAGCAAAATCGATTAGATTCATCACCGTCTACGTCTTCCATTTAATTAGCCAAAAATTATACTAGAGAATGGAGAAATAAATAAAGAGGAAGAAGATGGTGAAACAAACACAGAAGCGAACAACCCAATCAAGTCGTAAAGAAAGTTGAAGGCACTGGATAGATAAGTAGAAAAAAAGAGAAGGGATTGGAGAAGGTGTAAAGAAGAGAGGGAATCGGTTGCCTGGTGGGTGGAGGAATTAAAAGTTGTTAGATTGGGGGGAGATGTGTATAGTAATTAAGGATATAAAAGGAACTTTGTTTATAATTCACTTCCTAAAAGAGAAAGGTTGCAATTAATATCAAACTGCGGAAAAAGAAAAGTGGTGCACTTATTTAAGGATGAAGGAAATATTTATAATCATACAAACTTAAACAACACATAACTCAAGACTAAAGGAGTATATGAGCCTATTTAGTAACACTTAAATTGAAAGAATCGACATACTCTGTTGAAATTGGTGAAATTACAATTGAAAGGACTGGATTGGAAGGACACAATCTGTTGAAAACATTTACCTAGAACATATTTTATTACAAAATAAAGCAAAAATTACTTAAAAACATAGTTAAATACTCTCTCCGTTCCTGAAAATATTTCTCACTTTTCTTTTTAGGCCGTTCCTAAAAATACTTCCCACTTTCCATTTTTGGACAATTTGTGTGGTTCACATTCATTTTACTTTTTTCTTACATAACTACAATCATACATTTCCACTTTATTTTACTTTCTTAATAAGCGTGCCAATTCAAACCGGTAAGTATTTTTGGAACGAAGGTAGTAGTAGTCATCTTAAAAAATTTCAGTCAATTCATTTAGAAAACAACTCTAACTTTACTTATTTTTTGTTAATACATAAATCAACGTGCGAAATCAAAATTAACGAACCGTTTGGTATCATTGGTATCGACTGAAAATGTTGAAATTAGTGAAATTCTTTCAAACACGAATCTTCTGAATTGTGACAAAATTATATTTAAAGTATATTTATTAATGAAATAAAGAGAACTTATATAAAATAATAAGTAAAAATTGTCTTCTAAAGTCTTAGCCAAAGCATATAGAAAACTAACTCCAACTTTGCTTATTTTGATTAATACACAATTCAGTACGTAAAATAAGAAGTTGCATGTGTTTATTAAAAATGTTGGTTCATAAGATTAATAAGGCTTATAAATCGAATATAGGGGTTACCAAACACACTACTCCTTCCGCCCCTAATAAAACTTCCAAAACGGCTAGGCACACAGTTTAAGATAGATAGTGGGTGTTGTGTACTTGTGTGGTGGAGAGTTATGCAAATGAAAGAAAAATGAGTAAGAAATGTTGTGGAGCATAAAATCTTTACCCAAAAGGGAAGTGAAAGTTTAATTTGGGACGGACGAAAAAAGGAAATTTCGAAATTTATTTAGGGACAGAGGGAGTATGGGTGCGTCTGTTTATCGGCGGTTCAGCCAAATAACGGAGGGTTTGACCGTTTCGGCGTTTTTGACCGTCAAAACCGCCGATTTATTGCGTTTGGTAAACAGAGGGTGCGAACAGCGGCTCGGATGAAACCGCCGAAAACCAAAACGCTGGAAATTGGAGCGTTTAGGTTTCGGCGGTTTGGAATAATCGCTGAATTCACCCGTTTGCCCTCTCTCCTTCCTAAATAATTCTTCGTTTCATCTTCCTAATTCTTTCGTTCGGTGCTTTCTCTCCTCAGCAGCGCAAGACGGCACATCTATCTCTCAGTGAATTCATATGGCTGCCGCTGTCAAAGGTACGTGAGTATTGCTATGATTCCTAATTCTTTCGTTTCACCTCTGCTCTAGAACAGTCCTTCGGAATTTTGCTTTGATTTCTATTAGTATTGCTATATAAAAGTTGGAGTCAATCCTTAACTGATACATGCTGCTCAGTTGTTACTCTGGATTGCGCACTAACCATAACCCTCCCACCCCGTTAATCTTTAGGTACATTCCTTAGTTAATTGATGCAATTTATGCTCATACTTTTATTTAGTTAATTTTAAAATGTCCTTTTTTGTCTTTTTACATATTATCCGCTACAAGCAAATCGCTAAGTTACCAAACATTTTTCTGCAATCCGGCAAGCTAATCCGCTGGTCAAATCAGCTGATTCAATCCGCTATTTACTACCCGCTAACCAAACCCGCTAACCGCTAATCGCTAACCGCAAAGTGCCAAACAGGGCCTATATTAGAACCTGTTTAACAACATTAAATCGGCCGAGTTGGGCAAAAGGATGGATGCATGCAAGTTTTTTATTGTGTGCATTTTAGTTTTGAAAATTACTCTATAAAGATACTCCACTTGTCAAAATAATACGGAGTACAATAAAGATATTCCCCTTGTCAAAAAAACAATAAACATATTCATTGTTTTAATTATCAGCTGGGAATTACGATAAAAAAAAAAATTACTAGCCCGGGTACAAGTAGGTCGCAATCAACGACTCTTCAGATCATTTGTGCGTTCAAACGTCTAGACTCAAAACTACGCGATCTCGTCCTCTCCTCTGAATCCAATCTTCCAATGGCTCCCGCCGCCGTCAACCGATGGCTACGGCCCGAGGTTCTTTCCGCTTTTATTCATCAATCTTTCCCTTATATCTCTCTTCCGTCCGTATTTCCGTAATAGTTGAGATTTTTCGAGTTCTGTAAGATCTTAATGGTATAAGCGTATGCGATTGCAGGTTTACCCTCTCTTCGCCGCAGTAGGTGTAGCCGTTGGGATCTGTGGAATGCAACTGGTTCGCAACATCTCCACCAAC